TACCAAGTCTACTGGTCGCACTCGCATGACTTGTTGTCTCCTTCTTTCACACGTACAACATAGTAAATTTTCGTTCCCTAGTTTCAATAGGGTGTGGTCAGTTTTGATATTAGAGCGATATTTGAGTGTATTATCAATATTTTAGGTAACAACGTTATCTGTGTTCTCTCGTTGGTTCAATACGATATTTTAATTTTTAATTGAATTATGAGTATTTTCAAATATTAATGTTTTACCTATTTATAACTCACTTAAAAACTAAAACATCGTAAAAAACCGACGAGAAAACACAGACAATGTTGTCACTTTAAAGTTTGATTACGGGTAAATTCACTCAAATATCAAAACTGACCACACCCTATTGAAACCAGCGAACATTTGCTATGTCGTACTCGTGTAAGACGGAGACAACACTTGCGGGTGCGACGTCCTATTAGTTCGATAATACATACATTTGTTGTAATACTCCCCAACTATAAATGAACTGTAAGTAGTAGGCAGTGGCGTGGCGACAAGATTTTTATGTAGGGGCGAATACATTTTTTGGTACCCACCCACGTCCCACAGATTATAATACCCCCTCCTTTATTTTACTACACTCTTATGTTCAAAAAAGTTCAATATCACCACTGGGTGACCTAACCACCCACCCACCCTTGAATTTTACTAGGGGCAGTTGCCCCAAAAAATATCCTTCGCCACGCCACTGGTAGTAGGTACGTAGTTTTGCCATGTACGTGGGTGTAAGACAGCAACAACATAATATGCGGGGGTATCCTTCTAATAAACAAGACCTATGCAGTATGTGTGTGGATATAAAGGGGGCTGTAAGATCCTTGTACAGTTGTACCCATATATACACTATACCCATGATAATATACAATAACTGACGCCGAATGTACCCTATACAATATTATATAATAGAGTGTCGTTAATGACCCAAATGTAATATTGCGTTTTTTTTTTTTATTCATTGTTTCATGGCACTTGCGCACATATACAGCACCAGTACAACACTCTCCGACGGACCCGGAGGTGTGTGCTGTATGCGTCAACACTGGCAGTTCCCTCATGATGACGTCTCCGAACGTAACTCGCCGGTCGAATCACACGCTCAGTAATCACGTTTGCCAAATGGACTAGACCGTCGCGTTATTCTAAGATAATACATAATTATTATATGCATATTATTATTATTATTATTATTATTATTATTATTATTAATATATTATTATTATTATCATTATTATTATGAATAATAATAATAATTTAGAACAAAACGTTGTATCAACAAAAAATATTTAAAAAATATTTATAAAACATACATTATAATAAAAATAGAGCATATATTATATGTAAGGCTTATTCGTAAGACAATTTCAATCTTTTTTCATTATTATATTTTTTATTGTTGACATAACAGCCATAGTAATCCTAATACCCATCTATTATATTATGTTAGGATACCTACCTCCTACTTTCTAGAATCAAGCGATTTCAAGAGATGAAACTTTAGACCATATATACTGTGTATAGTATGTCGCAGGTACTCGTATATAATATGATCTACGGATGAAACCAATTATCTATCAATGACGGTGGTTTTGATATAATTTTATTTAATATTAAAGTCAGTATAGACCTTTTAAACCCTTTGGTTATTATTATTAAAATCCTTGGACGATGTTCCACCCAAGGGGAATAATTTAACGAAAACAATCATTGTTTCGAAAAATATTTTTTCATAGTTTCAAAAAGCTATAATCCGATATTTTAGAAAAAAAAATTATATTTTGTACTTTTTTTTATCGTTATATTAATTTTTTTTACTTTTTTGAATGATAAAGCATACATTTTTAATCCGATATTACAAAGCAACATTTCGGTGTATTTTGGTGTATAAAAATCAAAGTTCGTATGAATTGTAAGTTAGTTACCTATAAGAGTTTAATGATTAGTGAGTGAACTTCACTCAGTGAAGAAATGAACCAATATTTTGGGGGGGTTCCCCTGTGCCACTCCACTCCGCTCAACTATATATAGTGTATACCTACTAGTACCTACCTACTTATAACTCATAAACTATCGAGGTACTCGTCCAAAATTAAAAATACTCCGATTTACAATGAGGAATTAATAATGTATGTTGTCATTATACTAAGTAAAAACTAAGATAATATAATTTTTTTTCAATAGGTAATGGTGTTTTTCAACAACTTAAAATTAAGAAAAAAAAATATTAATTAACAAGTGTTACACGATATGAGAATCATCCGGCATAGATAATATAATATAAGTACACCGTACACCTATTTATAACATAGTCTCTGCAATTTCCATATACGTATTATAAATTATACGATCCTCAATTATTTTCACTTTTCAGCCTGAACATCGATAATATAAAAAAATATATTGTGTAGGTATTTAAAAAATTTGCAAACAATTTCAATCAGTACATATATATTTTAATTAATATTTTTTATTACCTATGTCAAGACCTAGTTACAATGTAGGTACATTCGTTATGTACTTATGTACGTATATAATATATACTACAAATACACATAAAACTAAAAAATATCGAAAACCGCAATTAAAAATCATATGATACCAATCAGCCTACCAAACTACCTAACGTATATTTTAACGTCACTCAATTTTTTTTAAATTTACTTCCGGCTAGTTTTGACGCTCAACTATGAGTTAATATTAATAAAACATAGTACACTCCATAACTCAGTTAACTACATTACCCAGTACCCAATTCTCGTTTTAGAATTCTGTCTGCGGGAGATTGGTGAACAATAGTCTAGTTTCATTTCCCGCAAAGTGAATTCAAAAATATGTTTGGGGTACTGAGTAAAATGGGTGATATAATTATACTACAGTATACCCTGTTTTCGCGGACACTGTATATTAAATAATAAATAATAATACAATATTAAAACAGGACATTAAAAACACGATCAACAATAATCACATTCGGGTGGTATAAGCTTTTCGTCATTTTGAAATTTGATTAAACATAATATGACCATATACGATATACCCACGTAGGGCCACGTGGTCATGCCTATATATGCCACCAAATATTTTGTGATTTCTTAAAATACCTACATAATACTACACCTTCCTATAACCATAAAATTTGACGTTAGCAAATCGAAGTGGTCGCTTTTTTTAGTACCTACACAACTCAAATAGTACTTATTGCATAATATTGCCTATGTAAATTGTTTGTGTGCTCGTGTAGACCAGCCAATTACCAAGCTAATGATTAATTATATCAATTTTACAATTAAAAATAGGTACATTGATTTAATGTTGTTATTATAATTTTCGATGTGCACACAAACCATACACATCACCAAGTTAAATACTAACCATCGTAGGCCTATTGTTGGTGCTCCATAACTATAATATGGTAATATACCTAATCAGTTATCACACCATCATTATTATATTTTCTCTTTTAAATTTTGCATACTAAAGTAGATACCTAATTATGCCATTAAGATATGAACATAAAGTAGGTTCGCCTACATACACCAACTTAATTAGGTATTGTTTTCATCATAAGATACTTCATATTATAGATAGAACCCAATAGTAATACTTGAAACCTAAAATTCAAGTTCATATTAACAATTTTAAAAAACATATTCGGTTAAAAATAAAATTCTCCAATACCTGCACTGCGTACCGTATTTATTGTTAACGAATAAGTGCTCTTTGTAAATACTGTTATCGTTTTTATTGAACATTTATACATTTTGTTCATTTGTACATAAACTCGAAATTAAATAATTTTTTGTAAATTACGAACAAAATTTTAAACAAAGCTCATGATGACTGAGAAATCGTACTATTATTAAATGTTAAGGACAAGGAACTTACAATGTTTTTCCCAAAGAAAACTTATTACACTTTTTTTTATTCTCCAGCATTTGTATTAAAAAATATGCAAAATATATATTATTATTATAGTCAATTTTGCAATAATATTGTTTTAGAATAATTTAATAATAATAATTTATTATGTATTAGGCCTACAGAATAATATAATAATAATAATAATAGCTACATTTGTTGGATTAAAAAGACTAAGTAGTTATATCAAAACTTAGACCCTCGTTGATTTTTTTGTAATTGTTATGCAAAATGGTAAAAAGTTAAGTACTAACTATCAAAAAATTTAATTCTAAATTTGTAGATATATATTGTTGAGTTTTAGTAATTAGTATTCATCAGTGTTCTGATGTATTATTTTTAATAGAAAACAAATTTATTACATATATATACAGTTAAAATTAAAAAAATATATATACAAAATGCATAATATGTGTAAACAATTTGTAAAAATAAAATGATTACAATAAAGAGATTTTAGAATATGAAATTTCTATACTGGAGTTTAAAAACAATGTTTTTATTTTTTGTTCAATTACAAATATATTAAATTATACAACTTAGTTAGGCATACATTTCAATATTTAATAAATACAAATTGGAATAACAAAAAATATAACATATTATATTTAAAATTAGTTAAGTAGGTAACATAATTGCATTAAAAATATATTCATATATACATTGGTAATACAATTTTCTAATTATAGTTTAGTACATAACAATTGGACCAAGGCATTAATTGTTGAAGAAAAAAATCAGGGAACAATTATATAGAGAAATATCAATATTATCACGACTATAAAAACTAAAAGAAATTTTACTCCAACATTTATATAATCTAAAAATGTTTGAAAAATGAATATATAGGTTAAGATACAAAAGGTTCCTTATAATACATTTATTATATACAGTTCATACTTAGTTAAGAAGAAATGTTCTTTAACAATTAAAACAAAATAACAGTCACGAATAGGTACCCAACTGAAGTTGTATTAGTAAATTTTACTAAAAAAAAAAACTTAACCGATATAAAACATAATTCTAACATAATTGAAAGAATGCAATTAATGTTCAAAATATTAATTCTATTGTTCAGAATACATTTTTTTTGAATTGCATGTCACTAAAAACCTTTTTAAAGCTATAAAATCTTCAAATATACAACCGCTCACACATGGATACTGTTCAATTATATTTTTATCTATATGAACTAAACATGCAGACCACCCAGCATTTTTTGCACCTTTAAAGTCCAACAAATATGAGTCACCAATATGCAAAAATAACTCACGATTTATACCCTTTTCAATGTATGATTCTGCTTTTCTAAATATTTTAATATCAGGCTTTTCAGACCTCACTTCGTAAGATGACAAGATAAATTTAAAATAGTGAGAGAGACCCAGATTTTCTATCATAGATTTAATTCTTGGGTCATAATTAGACAGAACTCCCAATGGTACTTGTTCTTTTTTCAAATAATCCAATAACTCAATAGCTCCATTTTGTACTTTAAATGTTTCTCCAGTACTGTACGTCATCATCAATTCGTCAATTATGTCTGTCAGAGGTACATTGTCAGTGATATTTTCTATCTGAAATGCTTTGCTAAAAACATTTTGTGCATAAATTCTCCAATAGTTTTCCCATTCAAGGCCAGTATAAAGGCCAAAATTTGGATGTGCTTTTGTCATGAATGTCCAATTTTTATTAATCAAATTCTCAAGAGTTGATAATTTTACTTCTATGCCATACTTATTTAATATATTTGAGTATTCTATAGCTGGAGAACTTCGATATTTTAATAAAGTTCCAGTTATATCAAATGTTATCAACTTGAACGGTCGACAATTCATTTTAGTTAATACTTCTGAAAATGATTATAAAAATTTTCAATAACAACTCAATCAAACATTATAATTTATACTCTATTCAGAATAAGAACAGACCGCATAGCAACTGAACTTGGAGCTGCCAGACCACCTGGTGGCCGATAAGTTAATTATTCGGTAATAGTGAATATTTGTGGTGGCAGCTGCAGTGAGGATAGATGCGCAGACAATGAGGGGTTTTCGTCCTCCGCCTGGTCTGTTTTTATTCTGAATAGAGTATAGCACATAAATAAAAATGTTATAAATACAAGATTATTTTTCGTGAGTGTTACCCTGATAATTATTATATTAGGATAGGTAACAATAACTTACACATACCTCTTAGATTATAATTTTAAATAATTACAACTTTATATTCACATTGATTATAAATGAAAATAATAAATTGTACCTATATACTCTTTTCAGAATAAGAACGCACCAGATTTAAGTAACAAAACCGGTTTTGTCCGTGGCCGCCTGGTTCCTTCTTATTCTGAAAAGAGTATAGTAGAATAGTTAGATCGTAATGACATAGAACAATGAATAGCCGTAATAATATATATATTATATCCTATACACTGAATAATATTTCTCAGTTCTCCTTATTCATATTATATTATTATGTTTATACCCAAATCTGTTAGTAATGGAAGACGAGAAAAGCCAAATTAGAGATGAACACACATTTTATTAGCTCTTTTTTAATTTACCAATTGATAATAATGATTAGTCACTATTTTTAAAACTCTAAACAATTAATAACTATACTACTTAGCATTATAGCAATTGCCAGTGCCAGTTAGTGTTATATTATTTTATCGAAATGTACAAAAAGTTTAATCAACTGCAAAAAAAAAAAAAAAAAACAGACCTCAATATAAGTCAGTACACAAATATGGAATGAATTTACTAATAATAATTTGTAATAAAAAAAAATGTATAATTAAGATTGAGTTTGTATATTTTTATAAAATTGAGATTGAAAACTTAATAAAATACAATAGAAAAACTAAAGGTTCCGTACCACTATCTATAAACACTGCTTATATTATATTAACTGACTGATTTTTAGTATTTGATGTTATAGCGGCAACAGAAATACATTGTCTGTGAAAATGTGAACTGTCTCACTTTCACAGTTCACGAGATACAGTCTGGTGACAGACGGACAGCGGAGACTTAGTAATAGGATCCTTTTTTACCATACGAACCCTAAAAACAATTACAAATTCTTAACTGGCCGAATTTTGCCAGTATTAAATTCTGTTATCAGCCAGTTCTCGTTAACTGACAGTTTACCGGACATTGTAAGAATGGCCCTAAGAATGGGAAAGAGAAAAGCTCTTTTAGTATATTATTATAACTGCATGAATTATATTATATTTTATTAGTTACTGTTAGTAAAAATATATAACTAACGATAACTAAACGTTAAATGTAACTACAATATACAACAAATATTTTTTAATTAAATTTATAATTATGTAGATTCAAAGTCATCAGAAGTACCTAAACCAATTGCAAGTGCGGTAAATCCACCAGAACTTTTTTTTGGATAGAAGACAGATGGGATGGTGAGTGCTCGCTTGACACGTAATAGAGAATTTACTGTAAATAGTGTATGAATAAAAGCAAATTTGAAATCACTTTTAGGGTAAAATACTAGGTAAAAAGGTACTTACAGGGGCGGATCTAGGGGAGGGTTCAGGAGGTCAGCTGACCCACAGTTAAAATTTTCTGATCAAATTGGCCTCTTTTCAGATCTTGAGTAGTTGGACACTTAAATAAACACACATATAGTATAAATGAATTTTAGATTCTGAGTGGAACGATGAATGTATTGATTTTACAATGTGTGTTTTTTTTTTAAATTTTTTTGATTTATTTTTGTGTCTGTGTACACGATAGGTAGTCGAAATAATGCTTCGATTTTCAACTTCAGTATCTTGTTCGATTGGAAAGTGAATCTAGTTGGTGCATTCGGGAGGTAAAATTTTAAAATTCCCAATAGTTTTCACAAGCGCCGGGATTAAACACATAAAAATTGAGGAATAACGGAAATTTTTACTCAAAATCTGTTTTCCAAAAAATCGATTTTGGTTTTTGGTGTAACTCTAAAACAAATGAACGTAAATACATGAAATTTTCCCTGGTTGCTTATATTTGCATTTTCTATACACGATAAAATTTTTAAAATATTATGATTTGTTTTGAACTGTTTAGGGACATTTTCATTTTCCATTTTTTTTTTAGTTTTAATTCTAAAAATATCAATACAATTTTATTTGTTAGCTTAGAAAGCTTGAAAATGTAATATAAGGTTCCTAGTATATTGTTTAAAGGCAGATGAAAAATATTAAAAATAGTTAGTCACAATTTTCTTTTATCAATAAAAAAATCTCTACCGGAAAGTTGAATTAAATTTTTATGAGCGTTTGAAATTCAAATTTTTACAACATTGGATATTTACTCGATTTCTCATGTAGCGATTTCCTTATTTTGTTGTAATTCAAAAACAAATAACTGTAGATAAATGAAAATTTCACTGAATGTTCATATTAGAATTTCCTATACAATGTACAATTTTGAAAATAATTGTTTTTCTTATACAATGATATTATATATAATTATAAATTCAACTTTAATACCATCCATTACAGCGACCCCCACTTGTAAGTTGTAACCTAATGTACAGCAGGTTAGGTATACAGCAAAAATATTTTGACTCTTTTTGAGCTGTTTACGGACATTTTCAGTTTTCAATTTTTTTAGATTTTTTTTCTATAAATATCAATAAAGTTTTATCTGTTATGCCAAATAGTGTAAAAATTTAATATAATGCTCCTGATATATTGTTACAATATCAGTTGAAAAATATTAAAAATACATAGGCTGCACAATTTTTTTTATAAGCATTTAAAGATCGAATTTTGACAAAATTTATAAAATTTAAAATTGAATAATTATTTTGTAGTTAAAAATGTATAAAATGTTCAACTTTTATATCTAAGGATTGAAAATTAAAAACATGATTTCACCATTGTAGTTAATTCTGTTAGCAAAAAATCTAAAAAATACATAAGCACAGTTTATTTTTATAGTCATTTTAAGTTCAACTTTGGATAAAATTACATAAAAAAAAACCTAGAATTACTATTTTAGTTATTTTTTTGTGATTGTGTAATATTATTCGTGGGTACTTGAAAATTCTAAAGTACACTATTATATACCTATGGAGTATGGACTATGATAGTATCAGGGTTTGTTGTTGACGTATAACGCATTATAAGTACCTAATGGATATTGGGATATGATTAATTTGGAATTTATTATAGGTAAATTTTTTTTAATACTATGGATAAGAAAATAATATGCCTTATACCTATAGACTGACATACCGTCTCCGCTCAGAATCGTTTTTCTTATACAATGATATTATATGATTGAATTCAAATTTAATACTATCCATTATACAGTGACCCACTTGTAACCTACTGTACAGCGGAGCACCTTTTTTTTGTTTTATATACCTAGTACACAAGTAGGTATAGATTTCTAATTTGGTTTTAATAAGTGGCCCCTTGAAATTTCCTGACCCACAGTTTCCTAACTCTGGATCCGCCCCTGGGTACTTACATTATTTAATTAATTATTGGTTAGGTAATTAGGTATATAATTTTTATTTAATTTACTACTATCTAAAAAAATTTTCTTTGTTATAATATGGTGGGCCGGAAGTGGGTATCATTCGACAAAGCTTACCCAAGTTATATAAAAAAGCTTCAACACATCTGTTATCGTTATAATCAATGAATTAAAAAAAAAAAAAATGTTTTTTACCTGTCTTTAAGCTAAAAAATCATTTGATTTGTCTGTAGCAGATAGTACCGTGGTATTATAGTTTTTAATTTGAAAACGTTAACAACATTCTGATTTGGTTTATGTTTCTTAATTTATAATAATCTTGTAAGTTAATTGCATTTGTAATTTCGTCATAAACTCAAGTATTATTTTCTCTTCTATACAACTATATCTAATGTAATATTTTTATCTGGTGTTATTAAAAATATAAAAAATAACTAGCTTGTACCAAGTACCAACTAAAATGATATGACTATAATAATATAATTATAATTACTTATCTATAATTGGTATTGAATGTTGAATAATATAATATGTTAATCACGGTTGTTGTTATAATAATTAATACTGGATTGGTGCATTATTTATTTATTTTATTGCACAACAATTATTGTATAGTAATACCACAGAATAATAATACGTCTATATCACAGTAGTTGTAGACTGTAGCACTACTAGCACAGAACATTTAAGATTTAACAAGTAACATTTCATTGTCTTGAGTTGTGGTCAGAAAGCATGATTAAAGATATTATACATCAGCTGATGGTGATAAGTCGTATCTTGTCATTCTCAAATTTAAAATACTCATGCCTCGCTTTAAAATTAAAACATAATAAAAAGCCCATGAGGTTGCCTAGATTTATTTATTTACCTTTAGATTTTATAAGAGGTCACCCATTTACTCTATTTTTCAAATTAACGGAGGTAAACGTGTTCTGCTGAGCTTACAATTTGCCATGTACGTACTTGTAAGACGGAGAAAAAACAGCGGGAGCCGGGAGCCCGGGAATCACATCACAGTTTGCCATTAGCATAGAACATTTATTATGAACAATAACTTTTTTTATTTATTTTTTATTTATCACATCGCCCAAAAGTCAAAACTTCCGGCCAGACACAGCAGCTGATAACTAATATAATTATTATTTGTGGTATAAGGTCTATACCTCGGTGATAACAATTATTTTACATATTTTTAGGTTAGGTTCGATGTAAGAACTCTAGATTAATTTTCATCTCGTCATTTTAGTAACAAACTGTCCGTCTGTCTAATCAGTGTTCTGTGTTGGGATTTGACATTTTATATTAAAGTATTTTCACTTTATTAATTTCAAATTGCAAATTGCAATATGGATACAATTATTGATAGAGGAGCACCGAAAGCTCGTAACTTTGAACCATATGCAAGTAATGGAGGGTAAGTTACAGACATGATAATCTTTTTTTTCTTATTACTCTTATGTTATTGTTATTACTTATTTATGATGAATACCTAATGATTACTTTTAAATAATTATAGTTCAATTGTTGCCATTAGTGGTAAGGATTTTGCAATTGTTGCTTCTGACACTCGTCTTAGTGAAGGATATATGATTTATACACGTAAACAGTCAAAGTTGTTCCAACTGTCTGACAAATCGGTTCTCGGGTGCACAGGATGTTGGTGTGACACATTATCACTGACCAATATTATTCAGTCTCAATTGAAGGTAAAAAATCTCATTACTTTATAATAGAGGTATTCAAACTGTGCGTTCAGAGAGTTGGAGAAGGGAGTCGCTTTCAAGCACCAGAAACTAAAATTAATGTTTGTCATGTCTAATTAATATAAATAGGTATCTTTTATTTATAATCATCAAAGCGATTATGGAAACAATGAAACACATTACGCGACTATTTGAAGTTTTATTTCTAGTATTAAAGTCACTGTTATTACTAACCATGAACTACTACACAGGACTGGACACTACAGAGAAAATCACGGACACAAAGTTGTACAAGGTTCGTACACATGCGATGTAACTGCACTCTGCCTGTTAGTAGTACGAACTACGTTTTTTATAGGATAACACTAAAGAATAGTGATATTAGTGATAATAACTGATAATAAATTTACTTTTTAATTTTTGAAAAACAATTATTAATAACACAGTTCAAGATAATAATGATACTATTTATAGAATATTATCAGAATATAATTACTGCTTAAAGAGTGAACAGTTTAAGCATGAACTACTAAGGCGGTATTTTATATAACAAAATATTTCTTATCTCACAGATGGCGCTGTGTCGCATGTGTACCGAATATGTACAACTTTGTGGACGACCCCCTACTCTCCTCCTGCCCATAGTGTCCAGTCCTGTGTAGTAGTTCATGTTACTAACCATATTGTACCTATCCGTAATGTTTAATTTTTTTCATAATAATTTGGGAGCCGTAATAATATTGTAAATAATATACAAAGGAGCCTTGGGCTGAAAAAGTTTGAATACCTTTGTTTTATAATATGATATGTTTATACATATTTAAATGTAATACTTTTTCAGTCATATTTGTATGATCACAACACAATAATGCAGCCTAATTCTATTGCTCAATTGCTATCTACCCTGTTGTATAGCAGACGTTTCTTCCCATACTATGTGTACAATGTACTTGCTGGACTCGATAGCAATGGTGAAGGTTGTTTATACAGTTATGATCCTGTAGGTCATTGTGAAAAAGTTAATTACACTGCTGGTGGCAGTTCTGGTGTTCTCATGCAACCTTTTTTGGATAGTTGGGTAAGTTACAATTAAATCATTTTACCTTCATTAAACATGCCTGCTTTTGGAAAATTCTCCTAATAGGCTATTTATCACAAAATTAATTTGGTTAGTAAGTTATTTACCAAATGTATGTTTTCTTTATTTGCTTCTACACAAACAATTATTAATATTAAGCTACATTTTGAAAATAACTAACAAATTAGATACATAATGTTGCTGTTAGATGTACATAACTTAAGGGTTTTTGGTGACGAGTTATATATCTGTAAGAGGTATATTCAAGAAATTATTTATGAACTTATATAGATTATAGATTATTCATATTTAATTTGACAATATTGGAATAAAACTACCTAGTCATTGATATTATTTAATATAATATATACCTACTTTGTCTGTGACAAATTAAACTCGTCTTACACTCCATTAAGTTTACACAGATTTTTATACTTGATCACAACTATTTTATTTTTAATAACAAATGGCAACCATACATAAACACAAAAAATTTCTTTTTCGCATGCCTATACACAGTTACATAGTACATACTAAGTACTAACATGCTCCCTCAAATTAATTGGTTTGGTATTTCTGTACTTTTATTATGCATCAGTTAGTCAAAACTTCTTTTAAATATACAGATTCAAATAACAATACTTATTACAGTAAAACTTCTATATAAGAAAGTCTCCGAAAGTCCACCTGACAAAAAAAAATTGTATTACAGAAAAATTCATTAAGTAGAATTAAACAAATTGGTTATAATATGATTATGGTTCTCAAAAATGTTTAGTTTGGTAACAGCAAATTTTGTTGAGTAGAAGAAGTTTCACTGTACTAATATTTATCTATATAAAATAGTTATGTACTAATAACATAGAGAATATAATATTATCTTACCTATTATTTTAAAATGTTTATAATTAACAAAATAATATAATTAATTCAAATAATGTACTTTTTTTATTGATCAAAAAATTGTATAAAAATTTTATTTTTGTATTAGTTGGGAAACAGAACTGCAGAGAACCCTGTTACTGAAGAAGAAGCATTGAGCTTGGTTAAAGATGCATTTACTGCAGCCGGAGAGCGTGATATATACACTGGAGATGAAGTAGTATATAACATAATTAAGAAAGATGGAATCAAGACAGGCGTGGTTCAACTTCGTAAAGATTAAATTTTTAATGATATTAAAATGCTTCACTTTTATTTTTTTTTATATTTAAATACACTTATACGATATAATAAATTATATTTTAATTAAATAATTACATTATATTGTATTTAATGGAATAATAAAATAATTTGGCAACAGAACAAAATTAGTTTTTTAATTAATATTAAATGAGAAGTTTGTTTGTTTTTAATTTCATAAACAAATCCTTTTTAATATTATATATCAACTGATTTCACTAATAATCTAAGATAAAATCCAATTATAACTAAATCGAAAATGATAGAATATAATACTTGGTAACTTTCAAATCCCCTTTCCAAAAGCGTGTATACTACAGAGGATTGTAAATTCTGCTGATTTTGATGATCTGTAAACTGGTTCTACTCAAGTATTACTTACAGGTACATATATACTCTCCCGGGTCTACTTAAAGGATATCAGCACTCTATTTTTTCTCTCTCTGACCCTAGCACAACTTAGCAAGTTGTAAATTCACAATGATGATTACAACCATAATAATTTCTAAAATTAAAGTGTAAACAATATTTAAAAAATGTAAAGGTAAGATTATTATCTAGGCCCTTATCTATGGCATCGCATAGGCTTTTTATTATATTTTAATTTTAAAGCTAATTATGAGTAGTTTAAAATTTTTTTACATCTTAAAACTCCCTCAAGGGTAAATGTTAACTCTCCAGAGTCTGTAATAACTTTATTTAAATTAATGTTTATAACAATACGAACAAACAATTTTTTTTAAATTAAATACACATTTGAATTTGATTTTTAAAAAGCAGACAATAGTAAATAATAATAATTTAAATCAATTTCAAATTAAATTAACATTTTAATTTAATGTTTATAATAATATGAACATACAGATTCTAAAAGACTTGTGGTGTAATTTTAGATTCTGAACGGAATGATTCTGAGCGATGAATGTATTGATCTTATAATGATGTGTGTTTTCATTTATTTATGTCTGTCATCACCTTTTGAGCCAATAAAAATGCTTCAATTTTCTTTAACAGTATCTTGTTCAATAGGAAAGTGAATCTAGGCTCCTGATATTTTGTTACAATAGCCGCTTAAAAATATCAAAAATACATAAGCATAATTTTTTTTTATAAACATTTAAAGATTTTTGACAAAATTTAATAATTATTTTGTTGCTAAAAATTTACCATAGATAAGTATATAATATGTCTTATACCTAGACTGACCTGACATACCTTCTTCGCTCAGAATCGTTTTTCTTATACAATAATATTATATCATTGAATTCAATTTTAACACCATCCATTTCAGTGACCCACTTGGCCACTTGTAACCTACTGTACAGCAGAGTGACTTTGATATGATACTTGTGATATGATTAATTTGGATTTTGTTATAGGTAACTATTATAGCTCAATTTACCTATGCAACCATTTTATATCATTGAAATATTGAATTCAAATTTACCACATACATTACAATGACTCAACCAAGCACCTAGGACCTATTTCATACAGCACAGCGGTACTCATTTGCATAGGCGCACATAGGGGGGTAATGATAATTTTATGATATTTAGCATAGACAATAATATAAAATAATTATAAAGTTTAAATAAAAATTAAATAATTACATTTTAAAAAAAAAATTGAAATAGAGTTGAATTTTTAAAGATTTATTTATATTTTAGGAAACAATTGAATAATATTTTTATCTTTTTTTTGGTGGGGGAGCTATTACAAATTGCGCTTATGCGCCCCCCCCCCCCCACTAATGGGTGCCCATGTCTACCTATCTATTTTTTAATGGTTTTATTTGGCAATTTGTACATAAAATGCCTATTTCTAGACCCTTAACTATTTTATTCCTGTAAAGTATTTTTCCCATGTTATATTTTTCTATGAGATACTTTCCTGTATAATATTTTCCTGCAGTGTAATAATTTCCTGGGTTTTAAATTCTTCGTTATTATTTGTCCGAAATATTAATTCCTTGTTAAATATTATTCTTGGGTAATATTTTCCTATTAAATATATTCCTAATTTTATTTTACTGTGTTAAACTTTCCCGATAGCACTATGTCTGTGTAATGTTTTCCTAATTTTTTTTTTCCTATGATATACTTTCCCGATTACACTATTCCAATTTAATATTTTCCCCAACAAAGCTTTCCTGGGATAAAAATATTCCTAGTAAATATTTTACTGAATATTATTCTTCCTCAGCAATAATTTCCCGTGTTGTGTGCGCCCCCTATCCAAAATAATGAAGAAATACCCTTTAAAGATCGAGTGGGTCTAACTTTTTTATTTTTTAAGCAATGGGCAGTTAACTTTTTTTTTTATCAAAACGAAACCTATCACACATTATTTTAACGTATCTTCAAACCAAACTAACATTTCGACGTATTTTATTTTTATCTTAAAGCTATTTAAGTGTTCTATCACCAATTAAACCAGAAATGTGCAAATTACCTATTTTTATTAATTTGAAAAAGTAATTATTTTTATCAAAAATTAATATTTTTAAAAGTAAATCACGTATAACTCCAAAAAATGTAGTATTTACTATGGGTATTTTGCTTACTGTATTATTGTACTGAATAATACATAGAATAAATTAAAAGTTTGGTTTTAGTATATTCCATGATTGCAGAATTATACGCTGTCCTTACAATCTTGATTTTCTTAGAATCGAGTATCGGTCGTTAATCGATTAATTTCATTTTCTTCGGTACATTTTTGTTGTAGTGTTGTCATTTTACAGAATAATACAATAAGGAAAAAACGCATACCTAGTAAAATTGATATCACAAAATATACGAAAAAAGTTCTAATAGTTTAAAAATTAAAAATTAATTATTTTTTAGTTTTGATATCGGAAATATAAAAACTATGTTCTCATTTTTATAGTATGGACATTTAGTTTCTTAGCTTAGAGTACAGCCTGAGTGGTTTTTATACCCGTGCAAAACAGTTTTTCCTATGTTTATACGTTGGTAATACGGAGACTACACATGTGGGTGTACCTAGCGTCTTATTTACAATTATACAGACTATTTGATTCATTGCCATTTACATATTATTATTGTATACAAATTAAATCTATTGCAATGCAGTTTATTATAATATTAGGATTTATGGGGGGAAAGCCCCCCACGGATCTGTGAACCATAAATTATTCCAGCACCCCCTAAATTCACACCCAATGTGCGCCTATGCTCATTTGTCTACCTGTTTTTTTCAATAATATTATGAGAGGGAAAGCTCATATTAAGTATAGTGCTAATTTGAGAAAATAGCCGAGGAAAAAAGAGACATATTATACAAGATCTGTAATATGTACACATTATTTCCTAGATATCTAAAAGGGGAGTGATCCATCTCATTTCTTAACTGAGGCGAACATATTTACCTATCAAATGAAAATATATTAAGTTGTCACTTGTCTTTAATGTCTATTGGGAATGAATTGCAGAATAAAAATTGTAGGGAAAAAGCCCTCCGACGAGCGACCACGGGAAAATCCCCGACTCAAGTAGGCTAGGAACAAAAATCCCAGACTACAGTATTACTCACAACCACATTAAAATGATTGAACAAATATGTTTTTAACCGTAAGCACCTACATTAATTCTTAATTATTGTTGGACAGTTATTTTATTATTATTTTAGATTCTGAGTGAAACGATGAATGTATTGATTTTACAATGTGTGTTTTTTTATTTTTTAGTTTTGTGTCTGTCATCACAGTTTAGGGCAGTAAAACTGCTTTGATTTTCTTCAACAGTATCTTATTCGATGGGAAAGTGAATGTAGTTGGTGACTGAATAAACAACATAAAAATTAAGGAAAAACGGGAATTTTTACTCAAAATCGATTTTGGTTTTTGGTTTAACTCTAAAACAAATAAACGTATATTCATGAAATTTGTAATGGTAGTTTATATTTGCATTTTCTATACACGATAACATTTTTCAAAAGATTTTGATTTGTTTTGAACTGTTTATGAACATTTCCAGTTTAAAATGTTATTAGATTTTTTTCTACGAACGTCAATAAATCTTTATTTGTTGGGTAAAAAAGCTTGAACATTTAATACAAGGCTTCTACTATTTGTAACAATAGAAGTTGAAAAATATTAAAAATACATAGGCACAATTTTTTTTATAAGAATTTAAAGTTCGAATTTTGACAAAATTTATCTTATTTCAAATTTAATAATTATTTTGTTGTTAAAAATTTATAATATTTTCAACTTTTGTTGCTAAGGATTGAAAATTTAAAACAAGGGTCCACGTATATAGATAAATATATAAATTACTTTATTCACAATTATAATATCATCAAATATACTTAGTAATATCATAGAGCCGACCGACCGTTTTCGCTCAGAATCGTTTTTCTTATTCGATGATATTATATCATTGAATTCAAATTTAATATAATCCATTATACATTGACCCGCTTGTAACCTACTGTACAGCGGAGCGATTTTTTATTATTTGACGTATCGATCATTCGACATATTTTTATATGTTATATTTGTAACGGTGAGACGTGAGCATTATAGGTATCTACATTCATATTTCAAGATAACTAGGTATTAATAATTATTTTGTAATATTATGAATATTTCATCTATATAGAGTAAACCTTGTAAAAACGTCTCCTAACCATATTAAATTTACATTATAATCAAAATATTATAGGAAACATTACATTTTCAATTTTTAATCCTTTAGCCATTGATGAAAATTTGGGGGGGGGGGCTTGAGCGGGCTTAGCTCCCAAAGTCCATCAAGTACCCTCCTCTTTTAGTTTTGAAGAATCGAAGCCCCTCACTCACATTGATGTTAATAAAGTTAGCCCCCCCTGAAATTTTAATGGGTTTAGCTGTACAAATTTAACATTTTCTAAATTTTTAACTACCTACTGCAATATAATTTGAAATTGTTTGTAGGTAGTTTAAATTTTACAGAATTATACATAATATTTTATCGTAATATAAAACAAAATATTATTGTTAATTTTTCGAAAATAATATGTATTAGGTACGTCGTACGTACCTATATTATATAATATAATATTCATTTTTTGAATGATAAGTATATACCTAATATACTTGTAAGTTATTTGTAATTAGTTTAAAAAAGTAGGCTACCTAGTAATCCTTGATTATGAAGGCTTAACAGTAGGTAAATAAAAAAAGCGGCTAAGTGGATGTCGATCTGCTATACAGTAGGGGCGACAAGTGGGTTAATGTATAATGGATTATATTAAACTTGAATTCAATGATATAAGAAAACGATTCTGAGAAGAGACGGTTTGTCAGTCCAGATATTTTATATTGTTACCTATTATTTATTATAGCTTTTAAGTTGAATTGATATTAGCCATTATAGGTATAATATTATTATTTTTATTCGTTTCTATGGTGATAAACAAAGCGTTAAAAATGAAAATCCCATTTTTATCAGTTTTCGTAATTTTTCAGTGGTTTTTCCAGTGGCATTAAATAACTATTGAGAAAATCGAAAAATTACCTCTCTAAAGTACCATCTTGATCCAATTTGCTGAAAGATAAGATACTATATTTTGAAACCGAATACCTACTATTTCTACTCCTTTTGGTAGACATTTTGTATACAGGATAAAAAAAAATAAAATAAACACCATTGTAAAACCACTATCTAAAATATTATGTTCAAAATTTTACCTATAGAAAACGTAATATTTTATTTCGGGGATTTCATTTTTACAGAATTATACCCACCTACATAATATGAGTATAAGTTATAACTAAAAATATCATAATAATGTGTTAATTAATTACTAATATTAGATACTAATTAGCGTTTAAAAAATATTTGTTCAATCATTTTCTTGTGTTGTGTGTAGTCTGGGAATTTTTATTCCGATGACCATTGTGATTTGGGAATATAGCTCGTACTATCTAGTGTGCCGGTGGCTGGCATTTGTAGGGTTCTGGATTGAAATGATATTGTTATAGCTATTACTTATTATTATTTATTATACAAATTACAAGTTATTGTTTCAAAGAAAGCTAGAAGAAAGTTATACATTTGTAATAGCCAACAGGCAACAGGTGCCTACCGATTACAATCTACTATCTATAAATAATCAACTCGTATTTTAATTTTTATACTTAGTTTAACAATTTTAAGTTCTAGTTCAATTTCTGGTCAGGTGGCACTGCTGGGAGCCTTCCTATTACTGTTATTTTATGTCTAATGTTCTTATGTCACCACACTTACTCATTATACCTTGTCTGTTGTATAGATTCAAGATTGTAAATATACTATTTAAAATAAATAAAAAAAAAGTTCTAATTTAACAAATTAAAAGACTACTGAATGAGTACTGATGTCTGATATTAACTATACAATATACTAATAAATTATTAGTAATAATTAATAAACATATAATCATATATAGGAATAGGATATAGATGAATTCTCTAGTGTTGTTATTATACCAAGTAGGTAATTAGTATTGTAGTATAGCTGTATATGGGTGGGCGGGTGGCATCTTTTTTAACAACCTGACACTTCTATTAACATGGATATTATATCCATTAAAATGAATATTCGCTTCACGAAGAATCCAAAAAAATAATTTTTGGGACATTTTCACTGTGGATTTTCTTCCCGTTTACCAGTAATTGATAAGAGTAAAAAACCAACACTATCTATTCTCCCACGAACTCCGTTAATAAATCTAGCTAAGTCCGTGGCTTAGAGTGCATAGAATTATCTCACTCTTTAACTCGTGCACATCCCGCTGTCTACCTCTAGCATAGAACAATAGCAGACTGTCTATGAATTAATAATTATAGCGCCACACCGGTTACAAAAAAAAAAAAAAAAATAGTTTTTGTGATAAGCGATTTGTGATTACTCCGTTCAAGTCATTCTTTAACCCATAGTACCCGCAAACAGCATTGCCGCATTGGTGGTGAGTACTGAGTCGTGACTCGTGAGCTAGTATTCTTGTCTATGCTCGTGAGTGCCGTGTGGCAGTGGCACGATCTTTGATAATAGTGTTTATTACTTACATTGTGGTCAAATAATCAGTAATCACCACTCAGTACCCAGGCCTTTCCTTAAATTACTGTGGTTTTAACGAGTCTATACAGCTCTTTATACACCATATTTTTACGTTACTTGCTAAATATTACTGAATACTGTTTTAGTGATAGTGATATTAAATAAATTACCATGGAAGAGCCACCAGTAAAAACAGCCAAGCAATTAGAAAAGGAAGCCAAGAAATTGGCCAAATTGGAAAAGTTCAAACAAAAACAAGATCAGAAACAGAATACACCAAAAGAAGAAGTATGTATTCTGGTTGTAATATTCACTGGATGTTACTCATAAAATAAACACTATATTATACTATTAGATACGTTTTACCTACGTTAAAATATTTGATTTTTAGGTTAGCTACATGATATTAATGCTAATTTATAAATAATGTCTGTATTTTTATATTAGAAAAAGGAAAAAAAAGAGCCAGTTAAGAAAGAAAAAGAAGTAGCAGTGTATGATCAGGATACTAAACCTGGTGAAAAAAAAGATGTATCATGCCCTATGCCAGATTCATATAGCCCAGCATATGTCGAAGCTGCATGGTATAGCTGGTGGGAAAAACAAGGATTTTTCAAACCGGAATATGGGGTAAACATCAGTCATAAAATCATAATCATAATCACCTATTGTTTTTATAAAATACATTTTCTATAGATACATAACTAAAAATATTTCTCAACTTATATTAACTTTTATTTAAATCAGTGTTCTTAAAGTCTTATATCATCAAGTTTATTTTTAATGTCTATATATATCTATTTTACAATTTAGAAAAAAAATGTATTGGAAGATAACCCCAAAGGAAAATTTATTATGATTATTCCTCCTCCTAATGTGACGGGATCTTTACATTTGGGTCATGCTCTCACTAACGCAGTGGAAGATGCAATTACTCGATGGTAAAAATTTCTTAATTATTTCTATATTTATTTATTATTTTTAATTTTAATTTAAAACTGTAAAAGATATTTAAAGTATCATTTTGTTTTAAACATCAACTAGGAATCGAATGAATGGTAAAACTACTTTATGGAATCCTGGTTGTGACCATGCAGGAATTGCAACTCAAGTAGTAGTTGAAAAAAAATTGTGGCGTGAAGAAAATAAAAATAGACATGATATTGGCCGTGAAAAGTTTATTGAAAAAATATGGGAGTGGAAAAAAGAGTAAGTATTAAATAAATTAATACATTTATAGCATTGACTTTGAATTCTAATATTGTAGACCATTTCATAAAGTATGATTATATCTTAGGAAAGGTGATCGTATATATACGCAACTGAAGTTGTTAGGATCTTCGTTGGATTGGGATCGTGCATGTTTCACTATGGACCCTAAACTCAGTCATGCAGTCACAGAGGCTTTTATACGTTTACATGAAAATGGTGATATATATAGAAGCAACCGTCTTGTAAATTGGTCATGTGCTTTAAAAAGTGCTATTTCTGATATTGAGGTTAATTTATATTTGTAATACAAGTTAAGAATTATTTAATATTAAAAATACAATTTTTTTAACAAAAATTCTTAATGATTAATAGGTAGACAAAATTGAATTGCCTGGTCGAACCTTCCTGTCCATACCAGGTTATACAGAAAAAGTTGAATTTGGTGTTCTTGTATCGTTTGCTTATAAAGTCGTAGGAGAAGATGAGACAATCGTTGTAGCTACCACTAGAATTGAAACCATGTTGGGAGATACAGCTGTAGCTGTTCACCCATCTGATCCTAGGTATAGACACTTGCATGGTAAATATGTGCAACATCCATTTTGTGACAGGATACTGCCAATAGTTTGTGACAATTTTGTTGAAAAAGATTTTGGAACAGGTGAGTTTTCCAAAAATTATGTATTTTAATAACATTAAAACATAACAATATTTAATAATAATGTATTTAAGGTGCGGTAAAAATAACCCCGGCTCATGATCCTAATGACTATGAAGTTGGTAAACGTCGTAATTTACCATTTATAACAATATTTAATGATGATGGTGTAATTATTGGTGATTGTACTGAATTTAATGTAAGTATTTTACTTAATATAATACTTGTCAACTTTAAATTTAACTATAGCTTAATATTAAAGGGAATGAAACGATTTGAAGCACGTAAAGCTGTTTTACAAGCATTGAAAAAAAAGAACCTTTATTGTGAAACAGTTGACAATCCAATGGTTGTGCCTATTTGTAGTCGATCCAAAGATGTTGTTGAACCACTAATTAAACCACAATGGTACATTCGTTGTGATCAAATGGCTAAACAAGCATCAGAAGCTGTCAAAAACGGTGAGCTCATGATTATACCGTCTCAACACAACAAAACTTGGTTTCATTGGATGGATAATATTAGGTAATTATTAATTAAAATTAATAAGTGAAAATCATATAAACAATATTGTGGTTTCTTAGGGACTGGTGTATTTCAAGACAACTTTGGTGGGGTCATAGAATTCCTGCATATTTTGTTACTATTGATAATCAACCTCAAAGTTCTGTAAGTACAAAAATGATAAAATATTTTTTAGATTCTGAGCGGAGCGATGAATGTATTGGTTTTACAATGATGTATGTTTTTATATTTTTATATTTTTTTTTGTGTCTGTCATCACGTTTTGGGACAGTAAAAGTGCTTCGATTTTCTTCAATAGTACCTTTTCTGATAGGAAAGTGAATCTAGTTGGTACTTTGGGGGGTCAAAAGTAAACATTTTCCAGTAGTTTTCACAAGCGCCGGGAAAAACAACATAAAAATTAAGGAAAAACGGGAATTTTTACGCAAAATCGATTTTCCAAAAAATCGAATTTGGTTATTGGTGTAACTTTAAAACAAATGACCGTAGATACATGAAATTTTCACTGGTTGTTTATATTTGCATTTTCTATACACGATAACATTTTCAAAATATTTTGATTTATTTTGAACTGTTTAGGGACATTTTCATTTTTCATTTTATTTTAGTTTTTTTTCTAGAAATATCAATAAAATTTTATTTGTTGGTTGCGAAAGCTTGAAAATGTAATAGAAGGCTCCTAATATGTTGTTTCAAAGGCAGATGAAAAATATTAAAAATCCTTAGTCACAATTTTTTTTTATAAGCATTTAAAGTTCAAAAATTGACAAAATATGGAAAAATCACGAAAATTAGCAAATTATTTTGAGTTAAGAATTCGTAAAAATTTTTCTTTTTAAATCTAAGATTTGAAAATGAAACACAAGATTCCTTATAAGATTATCTACCTTTATCAATAAAAAAATCTCTACCGGACAGTCAAATTAAATTTTTATGAGCGTTTGAAATTCAAATTTTTACAACATTGGATTTTCACTCGATTTCTCATGTAGCGATTTCCTTATTTTGTTGTAATTCAAAAACGAATAACTGTAGATACATGAAAATTTCACTGAATGTTTATATTAGCATTTCATATACACCATACAATTTTGAAAATATTTTGACTCTTTTTGAGCTGTTTATGGACATTTACAGCTTTCAATTTTTTTTAGTTTTTTTTTCTATAAATATCAATAAAGTTTTATCTGTTGGGCCAAAAAGTGTAAAAATTTAATACAAGGCTCCTGATATATTGTTACAATATCAGTTGAAAAATATTAAAAATACATAGGCACGATTTTTTTTTATAAGCATTTAAAGTTGGAATTTTGACAAAATTTATCAAAATCTCGAAAATTATCAATCGTTGGAATTAAAAAATTATAAAATGTTCAGTTTTTATAACTAAGAGTTGAAAATTTAAAACAAAGATTCTCTTAAATAATTCATACTGTAACCAAAAAATCTAAAAAATATATAAACACACTTATTTTTTACAGACATTTTAATTTCAAATTTAGACAAAATTTCATATTTAAACCAAGAATTACGATTTTAGTTATTTTGTTGTGATTGAATAATACTATTCGTGGGTACTTGAAACTTCTAAAGTGTACTATTATATATCTATGATAGTATCACGGTTTTTGTTGATGTATAACGCGTTATAAGTATCTAATGGATATTGTGATATGATTAATTTGGAATTTATTATAGGTACCTATTATAGGTCAATTTTTTGTTTAATACCATAGATATGTATATAATATGCCTTATACATAGACTGACATACCATCACCGCTCAGAATCGTTTTTCTTATACAATGATATTATATCATTGAATTCAAATTTAATACCATCCATTATACAGTGACCCACTTGTAACCTACTGTACAGCAGAGCGACACCCACTTGCCCACCTTTTTTATATTAAGTATAAATCATTTTAGATTAATGAGGATGATTGTTGGGTGAGCGCATATTCAGAAGAAGAAGCTTTACAAAAAGCAGTAAAAAAATTCAATGTTCCAAAAGAAAAAATTACTCTTCGACAAGATGAAGATGTTTTAGACACTTGGTTTTCTTCAGCTCTGTTTCCATTTTCTATCTTTGGATGGCCTGATCAAGTAATACATTTGAATTCAATTAAAACATTAATATAAATACAACTAATAAGTATTATTTTTTTAATATTTTAAGACAGATGATTTAAAGATGTTTTTCCCCGGCACTCTATTAGAAACTGGTTATGATATCTTATTCTTTTGGGTAGCTCGCATGGTTTTCTTCTCCCAGCGTTTGATGGGTTGTTTACCATTTAAGTAAGTAAAAGTTTTATTAACTATTTACTTAAAGTAATTATTAATTTTATTACTTTAGAAATTTAAAAATGATATTTACAGTTAATGTTAAAGTGAATCGTTATATAAAAATGAAAAATATAATTACGAGTTTTCTTTATTAATTTTTTTTTCTTCATATTAAGCAATTACAGCTCAAAAGTAGGTGATAATTTAGTTTTTACTTTTAATTGGAAATCTATAAAATAGATGTTATTTTTGTATTATGCTGGTTTTAAGACTATTCCAAACTGTAGTAATGAGTGTATTAACAGACTGTGTGTAATATTATGCAGTTGTATTGGACTGTGATCTTTGACTGTTGGAGTTGTTAACTTTTAGAATAGTGGGGGCTCCTAGTGACACAAGAAATAATTAGTTGGTTAAAAGTTAAATAAATATTACATTTTGTTTCTCATTGAACAATGGTCTTAACAGTGGCAGTCAAATGATTTTGTCATGATTTGATCTAGGCATGTGGCTGAGCTTATAACATGCATTATTTTATCATTAAAAATATAATTTATGGTTATGCCCATATCAATTTTTAAAATTATGGAAGATACAACCTTTATTTATAAATATATTATAGTATTAACAATATTTGTATTATACAGGGTGATTCTTTTATCAAACAACACTCATTATTTCAAAAAGTGTAAATTTTTTTGAAGATATTTTTTTACATAGTTTCAAGTCGCTTATAAGACAACGTTTTTATTAAAAAATTATATTTTTTATTATTTTTTATCCTTATAATTTTTTAAGTTTTTTACTTTTTTGAATGACAACATAGGGTTTTAATTTTATATTTTAAAGAAGAATATTTTTTTTAGTATTTTGATACATAAAAATCGAATTTGGGTTGAGTAGTTTATGAGTTATAAGTATTTAAAGTTTAGATGAGCGGAGTGGAGTGGTTCGGGGTTACCCCGCGAAATATTTGTCCACTTCACCGCTCGACTAAACTTTAAATACTTATAACTCATAAACTACTCGCCCCAAATTCAATTTTCATGTATCAAAATACTAAAAAAAAATATAAAATTAAAACCCTATGTTGTCATTCAAAAAAGTAAAAAACTTAAAAAATTATAAGGATAAAAAAAATTAAAAATATAATTTTTTAATAAAAACGTTGTCTTATAAGCGACTTGAAACTATGTAAAAAAATATCTTCAAAAAAATTTACACTTTTTGAAATAATGAGTGTTGTTTGATAAAAGAATCACTCAGTATTTACTAAATCTATTGACAAATCTCTTATGACAAATAGTTGTTTGACAAAACGATGCTATAAATATTTGAAAATATTTCATGGTGTGAATCTATTCCTCTCAGCACCACCTGTTTGACTGCCACTGTCTTAATGTTTATAAGAGGATAGCTCATTTTTTTTTTTTTTTTTACGTTGACGATTTGGTAAATTGAAGTAAAAGCTTTTTGTTGTTTATATTTTTACCGACTGTAGTGTAAGAGACAATTACTCATTGTTGGATATAGTATAAACTATAAAGTGAAATTAGTCATGTGCTAATTGGACAAATATCAAAATTTAATTAGTTAATTATGATTAAAATCAATACAATTAGTATAATCTTTAACTTATAGTCTTTAAAATGTATAAAAACTAAACAATACATTTTTTTAAATGTATATAATAAATTAAAAATATTTTCTTTATGTTTATACTAGGAAAATCTTCTTACATTCCATTGTACGTGATGCACATGGCCGTAAAATGAGCAAGTCATTGGGTAATGTTGTTGATCCCATAGATGTCATTAAAGGAATATCATTAGAGAATTTGAATAAACAACTTGCTGACAGTAACTTGGATCCGAAAGAAATAGAAAAAGCTAAAGCAGGACAGAAGCAAGACTACCCTAATGGCATCCCAGAATGTGGAACAGATGCATTACGGTTTGCTTTATGTTCATACATGTCTCAAGGTAAATATATTATTACAGTTAATTTTATACCAAACAGTGTTGGTCAAATGAGGGGAAAGATGGGGCTTCCCTTAAATATTATTTTTAATAATCAAATAGTACATGTTAAAAAATCAGCCATAACATGACTGATACCCCCCCCCCCCCTGGCAAAACCATTTGACTGATATAAAATCATAACTTTGTTGCTGAGGAGTTGCATAAAAAAATTATCAATTTAATGAACCAATCACGGGCAAATAAATCATGTTTAAGGGGCTTTTAGCTTAATAATTGATTCATATTATTGTGTTACGAGATGTTTATGAACCCAGCTTAACTATATTATTTATTTACAGGACATGATATCAATTTGAGTATTCTCCGTGTTCAAGGTTATCGTTTTTTCTGTAATAAACTTTGGAATGCTATAAAGTTTGCACTCATGTACTTCAAAAAAGATTTTGTACCTTCCCCAATATCAGAGGTAACTAAGTGAAATATTTTATTTTTCACTTAGTAAATTTTAATTTGTAATGAATTTAAAATATATATACTGATATTGAAAAAAACATAAAGTAAAATGTATTTAATAAGAAATGTTTAATAGATTGTGAACTTAAACAACATGGATACGTGGATTTTGAGTCGCTTATCATTAGCTGTAGAATCATGTAACACTTCATTTGAAAACTATGAACTCAATGGTGCAACGACTGCGTGCTATAATTTTTGGTTATATGATTTATGTGATGTGTACTTGGTAATTTAAGTAACATATTTAAATTTTAACAGAAGTAATGTTGTGTATATAAATTTTAGGAATCACTCAAACCAGTATTTGCCTCTAATAATATAGACAAGATTGAAACTGTTCAAAATATATTATTCTACTGTTTGGATACAGGATTGAGATTATTATCACCATTTATGCCATTCATTACTGAAGAACTTTACCAAAGATTGCCACACTCTGATATTTCTAGATATCCTAGTATATCTGTTGCTCTGTATCCAGAAACAGTAAGTATAATCAAATGAGTTGTAGTTTGATTTACAATCAGTAATAAATTATCCATATTCTAATTTATTTAGACAAAATATTCTTGGCGGGATTTAAAAACGGAAAATGAATTTGAAATTGTTCAGAAAATTGTTCATAGCATTAGATCAGCATTATCAGATTATAATGTTCCTAAAAGTTCAAAAACTGAAACATATATTAATTGTTCTGATGAAAGTACATTACAAACTGTAACTAAATTTAAATTAGAGATAGCTACTTTTGCAAATTGTAGTAAAGTGGAACTTGCAAATGCGTCTTCTATACCAATTGGATGTGCTATTCTGCCTATATCTGATAAATGCCAAGTGCATCTTTTATTGAAGGTTAGTAGTTTTACAATTAGTTTACTATAAATAATTACTCAAAATCTTATTTTATGCATTAAAATTATGTATTATCTAGGGCTTGATCGATACATCCAAGGAAATAGAAAAGTTGAAAAAAAAGAGTGATCTGTTAACTCAAACTGTAGAGAAACTAAATAAAGCAATGAGTGTAGCAGATTATGAAACAAAAGTTCCAGATGATGTGAGAAATGCAAATAAGGACAAACTTAAGCAGTCACAAGACGAATTAGATAGACTCACTGAAGCAATTGGAGTACTGAAAATAATGGATTCATAATGATGAATAATAGACGTTTGGGATAGAAAAATGTTTCTACTTCATTTAAAATTTTTTTTTAAATTTTGTGTCTATGGTTGCATTTAATTTAAATATTTGATTACATTCTTTATTCAGAAGAATAATAAAAACAATATATTAAATATTGGACATTTTATTTGATTTACTTATCGGCTTATCACAATATCCTAAGTTGCGCTGACAAAGCATTGAAATTATCATACTTAGTTGAACTGCTATAGTACTATACACTACTAATACTTATTGTTTTACGATTTACTATGTTTTTTTTCACATTCTTACACTTCTACCTAAATAAGTTTATCCAGTAAAATTTAATAAAACAAATTTTTTTTTATTAGTTTAATTGATTATCTTCTTTGTTAATATTGTGTATTAATGAAAACTATATTATTGCATACTGATTGAATTAACCTTAAATTTATTAGTTTTTACAAACTAATTAATTTCCTATGTATGATTCAACTCAGCAATAATTTATTAGAAGAGAATCCTAAAATTATAAGATATCCAAACAGTTAGATATTTGAGAAAAATTTAAGGTATAATTTAAATAGTTTACACTTTGTAAGTACTATCAATTTCAGAATAGTTTGGCAGCTGATTTATTTTTTGTTCTAGTTTGTGAAAACGTATGCTGGATAGCTTAAGTGACCTATCCCCACTTAAAATATATTAATAGCAAATCAAAATAATGGTAAATGATTGAACTTTTATTTATATATATTTTTATTTATTTTATATAATTTTCTATCAACAAAAAAATAATGAACAATAAACAAACATACAATTTTTACCATGTATAACATGTAATATATGACTACATTTATGAGCGTTAAACAATCTAAATCAGACACAACATTCTGGTCCATTTGTTAATATTTGGTGTAACAATAATATATGAGTATATAAAAAAATGTTGATAAAATGTAAACATGGACAATGTTGTAATATATTAATTATAAGTGGTAACCACTAACTTAAAAGTAGTGTGATTGCAAAATAAAATGTTTTTTATCACAAGTATTATAATATTATAAACTAGGTTTGTAATTTTATTCAAATTTGGTCCAATTTGATTTAAAATTGGGTGGTTTTGGTGGTAATGGTGGTACAGGTGGTTGACTTGTTGACATGGATGGACCTGGTTGATCAGTACAACTTAACAAATCAAAGTTTAATCCATACTCGTTAAGGAGGTCATTATTATTTTTGGTTTCTAATTGAGTTTTATTTAATGGAACAAAATACTGATACAGTGGATTACTAAGACCTACTCCTGGAACCAAACCATTACTGTTAGTTGGACTATTTAAAGGATCAAAATCATCTATACTAGATGTTGAATCCAATCGAATCAGATCTTTAGTTTCCATTGGACTCTCGCTTGGCATAGACCCAAATGATGAACTGATTAAATCATCATTGATGATGAAGTTTGATTTGACTGAATCATCCCAGGACTGAATACAAAATATTTCATTCATAATTACAATTAATAATCAAGAAGTAAAAATCATTTAATTATTTAAACCTACTGATGTATACTTCCGTGGATCATCATTATCACAAGTTCTGAATATAACTTCTTTTAGATCTTCCATTAAATTCAAGTTAATTTGTGGTAAAGGTGAAATCGAAGAGTCTTTGAAACTATAAAAAACAAAAATTTCTATTTGATAAAACTGTAATAATAACAATAAATATTCACTTACTTTTGTGATGTAGTTAATTTTTGTAATCCGTTGGCAGTTTCTTTACGATAACTAGCAGATGCTGTTGTATGTGACCATGATTGTCTCTTCTGCATAGAAGGAGAGTTTGGTGCAGAATTTGGATGGGTACCAATTTTAGTTCGAGGATTTTTATTTGGAACATTGAATTTTGATCTAATGTCTTTGTAAGCCAACCGAAAATCTTTTCCACGTTCTTTAACCTAAAAACGTATCATATAATATAAAAGTTTTATTTTTACATGAAAATAATTTACCGTTTTTACAGCATTTCTTACTGTAGGATTAGCCTGAAAATTAATAATAAAATGTAATAATCTGATTAATTTTATGATTTATAAGAAATCCAAAAATTTGTTTATAAGTATTAATATTCTATTAAATACAGTATACAAATTTCTACCATAATTCTGTTACCAACTAAGTCTAATAAAATTCAAAAAAAAAAAGGTGGGTAAGTGGATGTCGCTCTGCTGTACAGTAGGTTACAAGTGGGTCACTGTATAATGGATGCTTTTAAATTTGAATTCAATGATACAATATCATTGTATAAGAAAAACGATTCTGAGCGAAGACGGTATGTTAGTCTAGGTTTAAGACAAATTATATACATATCTATGGTATTAAAAAAAAATTGACCTAAAATAAATTCCAAATTAATCATATCACAATATCCATTAGGTACTTATAACACGTTATACACCAACAACAAACCTGATACTATCATAGATATATAATAGTACACTTTAGAAGTTTCAAGTAGGTACCCACGAATAATATTATATAATCACAACAAAATAACTAGGTTTTTTAATATGTAATTTCGTCCAAATTTGAACATAAAATGACTATAAAAATAAACTGTGATTGTATATTTTTTAGATTTTTCGGTAAGAGAATTAACTACTTACGTGGAATCTTGTTTTAAATTTTCAATCCTTAGCTATAAAACTGAACATTTTATAATTTATTAATTACGATGATTAATAATTTTCGAGATTTTGAAAAATTCTGTCAAAATTCGATGTTAAAATGCTTATAAAAAAAAAATTGTGCCTATGTATTTTTAATATTTTTCAACTGATATTGTAACAATATATCAGGAGCCTTGTATTAAATTTTTACACTTTTGGCCCAACAGATAAAACTTAATTGATATTTATAGAAAAAAAAAACTAAAAAAATTGAAAACTGAAAATGTCCGTAAACGGCTCAAAAAGAGTCAAAATATTTTCAAAATTGTATGGTGTATAGGAAATGCTAATATAAACATTCAGTGAAATTTTCATGTATTTACAGTAATTCGTTTTTTAATTACAACAAAAAAAGGAAATTGCCACATGAGAAATCGAGTGAATATCCAATGTTGTAAAAATTTGAATTTCAAACGCTCATAAAAATTTAATTTGACTTTCCGGTAGAGATTTTTTTATTGATAAAGGTAGACAATCTTATGAGTAATCTTGTATTAGATTTTCAAATCTTAGATTTAAAAAGAAAAAATTTTTACGAATTCTTAACTCAAATAATTTGCTAATTTTCGTGATTTTTCCATATTTTTCAATTTTGAACTTTAAATGCTTATAAAAAAAAATTGTGACTAAGGATTTTTAATATTTTCATCTGCCTTTGAAACAATATATTAGGAGCCTTCTATTAAATTTTCAAGCTTTCGCAACCAACAAATAAATTTTATTGATATTTCTAGAAAAAAAACTAAAAAAAAAACGAAAAATGAAAATGTCCCTAAACAGTTCAAAATAAATCAAAATATTTTGAAAATGTTATCGTGTATAGAAAATGCAAATATAAACAACCAGTGAAATTTCATGTATATACGTTCATTTGTTTTAAAGTTACACCAATAACCAAAATCGATTTTTGGAAAATCAATTTTGCGTAAAAATTCCCGTTTTTCCTAAATTTTTATGTTGTTTTTCCCGGCGCGTGTGAAAACTACTGGGAAATTTAAATTTTGACCTCCCCAATGCACCAACGATATTCACTTTCCAATCGAACAAGATACTGAAGTCGAAAATCGAAGCATTATTTCGACTACTTATCGTGTACACAGATACAAAAAAAATAAAAAAATAAAAAAATAAAAAATAAAAAATAAAAAAATAAAAAAATAAAAAAATAAAAAACACACATCATTGTAAAATCAATACATTCATCGTTTCACTCAGAATCTAAAAATTAGATACAATTGGGATAATTTTTAGTTTGTAAAATTTTTAATTTTAATTAATCAAAAATCATGTTTTTGGATTAGAATATTTTATATGAATGAAAATAAAATTGTAAACTGTTAATAATTTACAACAATTAAAAATAAGTAAATAAGTACCACATACAAAGCAATGAACCCAATTCATAAAAAATCTTATTCTGATTATGTTCTTTTCAACCCAATTAAAACCAAAATAAAGATAAAAATATTTTATATTATATGGTTTTCAATTATTAATGATAATTTGTTTATACCTACATAAGTATTTAAAATTTTTATTTAATTTACTTTTTTAATGTTTTTTATTGCATAATATTTTAAAACAAGTTAAATGGTTTTTAATTTTAATATTAATTGTACGCTCTATATAGTTTGTAAATTATAAAAATTACAATATTTAAAATCCCCAATTAAGCAAAACTTAAGACTACTAACTTACAGCATTCTTAACAGTTTTAAATAATGCAGTTCCTTCACGTTTCATAGTGAATGTCCAATCTTTATACTGATGCTTTAATCTATTACTAGATTTCTCGTGGTAGTTGCAAACTTCCATTTCAAATTCATCAGAAAAACCAAGTCCTGCATTTAACATTTCTAATCGTTCCTCTATAAACTATGTACAAAACAATTAATTTTGAGACATTTATGTACGTTAAGTATTAAAATACTAAGTACTAATGATAATTTCATAAAAAAAACTATCTTTACCTAAAATATATACAATGATTATACCTGTTGAAAAATCTGCAATTCCAACATTTTTTTTAAAAATGGTTGCATATTTGCTGATCTAGACTCAATAAATGCTTCTTTATTAAATGTTATACGTTCTCCTTGATGAAATTTTAATGCATCTCTATAGCCACCAATTAACTTAACTAAAGCACGTAAAAATGCTCTAGAAACGCCGTCGCCTAACAGTGTACCTTATTACTTAACTGTCGTCTTAAAGTTGATACCTAGAATAAAAATAAAATAGGTCTCCAATGCTCATAAAATGGATAATGATTACATTGGTTATATATTGAATTCAATATTCATGATAAACAATAATGTTTGAAAAAAAGATTTTGAAATTTCAGAGTACCTAATATACAGATGTATTAATTCATTGACATGCATTAGTCACACCTATTGCAGATGTCCAAGATTACTCTTGTATATGAGTAAAATGACAAAGTAATGAGTCTAGTAGTTGTATTAATAAATATTTACTGACCACATCTGTTGGAAGATTTTCCAAATCATCAAATGGGAGTTCTATAGTATTATTATCTGCATCTAAAATGACAACATCCCCCAAGTCATTACGTTGTAAACTCTAAAAAATAACAATAAGTAATAGTAATAAATATGACAAAAACTAAAGTTAAATGATGAAAAATAGTTACTTGGAATAATGAGTGAGGTAAACCGATCAAGTATGGCATTGGTGCTAATAAGTAATCAATAAGTGACTGAGGCAATACTGGTATAAATATGTGTTGCCAATTCATTGGATATAGAACTGCATTAGCAGATTGAACACAGGCACTCAATCTGTATAGTTTTTTGGAAGTAAAAATAATACGACGCTCAAATAACATGGATGCAAATATAATAATCATATTTTGGCAATCAACTGCACTGTAATATTCTGTCAAATTTCTCTATAACAAAATTTAAAATATCAATCTTCAGTTGAAATGTAGATTGTTTAGTATAAAATAATTAAAGTTTTAATGATTTTTTTTTTTAAATTAAATTCTACACATTATCATAAATAAATTACTTAAACCATTGCTCAATAATAATTTTTAATTGAATAATTAAAAACATAAATTATTAAAATAGTTAAGAATACCGTAGTTCAACTAAAAGAACAAACTACTTACATTTTCTGGAATGCTTGGTAACTGGAATTGAATTGGTGACTGACAAACAAATAACTATAAGAAAATATAATAAGAAAATATTTTTAAATTTCGGCTAAAAATGCATAATAAATAAATTACCTCTTCACCGCTATCACTATTAATTTTTAAATCAAGTCCTTTGATTGGTAGTTTACTATTATATACAGATTCCAAAAATGGCCATAGATCTTTAGAATTATTACTATTTGTAAGATTAGATATACAATTTAATAATCTAAAACAGACACAAGTATGATACATTTCCATTGACCATACAAAATAAATAAATATCAGTAAATATAAAATAATTTTTACTTATAAAATGATTCATGCCAAGGAAGATAACTGAGAACAACTAAAGCTGTCTCAGATTTGGGATCATGTCTACAAAATCCAAAAATCACTTCGTTCAGCATTGGTCAGTACAAATGAGTAGTGCTGAATCATGGTTCTAAACATTCAAATTATTAGAATAGGGGTAGATATTGTTAGTTAATATTTAACACTACCTGTCAAATTCACAAGGATAAGCAAAATTAGGTACAGTCTCGAGCAGTTCATCTTTTCTATAGTGTTCTGGAAACTTTTGGAGAATCCATGGTACTGTATTTTCCTTACTTGGACCGGCTACTTCACAGAAACACTCAAATAATCGAACAACGTCATTCCTGATATAATACAATGAAGATTAATATGCATACTATTGAATTCATCAATTATAAACATTGGCCACTTATAATACACACGTAATTCAATATAAATCAAATACTGTTTGGGCAAAAAATTAATATTAAATACCTACTATATTATGCTACTATGACTAGTGTACACTTAACAATATTACAACTGTTTAAAAATATTAAGCCACTAGTGAGAGAGAGAGAAGGGACTAATAAACAGTATCATTATATCAATGACAGAACAATTAATTCAATGGAATTGTAACCGCTCACCTTATCCGTGACCCCATTCCATCAAAGCTGCTATGAATCGACAAACAAACATATAAATATTCACTGGTAAATAAAAAATCAACTTTTAGGAAAACATCCAGGACATTGGGCACACACGTCTTCAATGATGACCGACAGTTAAACGAATTCACGACTACATTGATTTAAAAATCGTGCGACTTTTTTAATTTCAGATAACCTGGTGTCGGGCTGATGAGACGATGAGTAATGAGTAGTATTTACTGTTGAGTTAAGGAACTCCAAAACCCAAAAGTTTCATTTCAAACCAGAGATAACACACATATATCTAATAATCTAATCTAATCCCATCCCCCACTGCTTCTTCGCTCACGTAGATAATATATTATTAATACCGTCACACAACTACGCTGATTCATGTTTTGTATTTATTTTTGTTCTTCTGAAAATAATGATAGCACCAGCTTTATCTTGGTAAAAATACGCAAAAAAAACAAAACATTCCAGTAATGAATATAAGTTGTTTTTTGAAAGTTCGAAATATAGAAGTGGCCACATTGTCGATAGCTTAGTAGTACCGCCTGTTATGTCGTGTTAACAGAAATTAATTTCAACGATTTACTATATTGCAGTAGCAAGTCGAAAGTTGTCCGACGATCAGCATTTGTATTTTGTTTACAGAAGGTTAGGTAGTGTAGTATTGTAGGTGCTAGGTGTACCTTGTGTGTACGACGACGTTGGACATTTTACCAGTGGTTGGTGCCTATTCATGGGTAAAACAATGTATGCTCGTGATGTTATATTGTTTTTATTGAGTTTATTTTTTTTTTGTCCAAATCTAGATTGTTGTACCCGTTATTAAACTTATTTGTTTTTATCCAGCCTGGGTCATGTCTAAAGACGGCCGTCACAACTACGATCGTGATACAAGTAGTGACACAGAAGATTATCAAGATACCGAGGACCATAGGCGTCGTGTGTTCAAAACAAGGCTAAGGTAATATTACGTCAAACTCAGCACTATTTGGCTTTGCCTTTTGTATCGTGATAAAGGTACAAGAAATAAATTGTAACTTTGTCGTTAGCTATTTTTTCGCATAATAGTTGTTCTTTGACATCAAAGACATAACATTATGATAAATAATCTAATAATGAATTATAAACTAAGGTCTAGTTTAAAATGGTTGTTTTACGAGTAAGGGAGTAACATAGTTTATATTGTAGAATTTTGTATTAATACAGTAATATTATAAATTATAATAAGTATTATTTGTTTTAGTATTTTAGTATTTATATTTATATTTCAGTTATGGAAGTTCCTTAAAACCCAAATCCTGTTTGGTACAGCGTCATTCAACTGGTAACCAGTTGGCTCTGACACCAATCAATAAACAACAAACCACTTCAATGAGAAATAGGTAAATTGGAAAACTTTTTAAACAAACAATAAAATAAATGATATATTTTTAGTTTTAAACTAATTAAATTAATTTTTATACCTACATAACTCATGACATTAGAATTAGGATTGTTCAAGCAAACCTGAAAAAGCTGAAACCAACACAATTAGTTCAGGATTGTTGGACTATGATTTTAGATATAAAGATTAGAATTAATAATCATAACTAGTTAATATATCTACGATTATTTTAGAATATTCTTAAAAGTTAAAATCAATTTATATTATTTTAACAGGGAAAATTATAATGACAAAAATGTATCAGCTATCATCATAGGCTAATATAACCATAGATGTGTACGACAACTAGATAGCTTTCATTTTACTATAGTTGTGACCGATATTGAAATCGGCCATTTACAAAGTAGGCAATGTTTACATTTATTTATATACATTTATACTATGATAATATTATTTTGTAAACTTTGCCTGCTTTGTGAATGGCGGGCAACTTCGATGAGAAGAATTAGACGGCTATCTAGTTGTTGTATATATCTAGGAATATAATATTAATATATTATCTTAGTGACTTAGTATGTAGTATTGTGGGTTTTTAGGTACTTGTCTGTTATCACCCAGCTGCAGCGTGGTACTAATTCATGTGGCTTTCAGAATTTTTGCCTCTGCTGTGATACAATATTAATTAATTTACCATAATCCTAAATTAAATGATATATTTTATTTCAATATTTGATTAAGATCTTTATAATTTGTAATATTTAACTAAAAATAAATATATTATTGGCATTAAGGTGGGGCAATCACAGACTAGTACTATTTAACTACCAACTATATATCTTTTTAACATTATAATATGTTTTGTATATTAAAAATATATCAGACCAACTTTAATCATTTATTCTAATTGAAAAATCAAATTTATGATTCATTGCTATCCGCAAAATATAATTGTTTAGTTTTAATCAAGGCTTAAAATCACTTTCAAAAAAGAGGTAATCTAATTTTAGAAAACCAGTAACCACTTGTTGTTACATTTTGATTTAAGGATAATTGATAACTGTTGCTCTCGGTATTGTAAAGTACTTGAGCAAAAGTATTTCAATACTTTTTAAGCACTCAGTACAAATTTTAAATCCTTTTGAAAAATTTACTTCTACAAAGTATAATAAATATTTTCTCAGAGTATCTGTTTTAAAATCAAACTAATTTTGTTATACTTTTTTAAGGAAATTAGTATCCGTATCTGTACTTGAATACTTTTAAAAAGTGTCTATTACAAGACTGGTTGCTCTAGATGTATTTCAAATTTTATACAATACAACTGATAATTTGTTTTGGTCATCAGTTACCGGTTTACATTGTCAATATGATATATTTTTTAGTTGTTTTTCTGTTGGTTTTCATTAACCATGATTTTTCATTACAAATTATGAGTAATATGTATCTTCAGGAAACTAATGTAAAAGTAAATAAATTCTAAGAAACTAAAATAAATAAATCTAATTCTCTTCAGACTGTTTAGAGGTTTCACTGTATATACTTTTTTTGTCAAAGACTAAAATCTGCAATATTGATGAAAATAATCTAAAAATAGCTAAAAAAAAAATATCAATATTTATATAATATATGAATATTAAAGGTATTTACTTTAACCCCCTTTAATATAAAAAAATTGACATTTAATTAAAACTGTTCATAAAATTGATTGGTACTTGGAAAAAAAAATTCCCCAAATCTATACCTAACTGTCGGATACATATACAAAAGTGTAAAAAATAAAAATGAATACCTAGGTAATAATAAAAGTTAAAACAATATAAAATTTGAATGATAATCATTATAATAATATCTAGGTCAGACTTTAGTTTTGCATAAAATAAAAATAATATAAATATATAGGTAATAAAAAAGTTAATCAGTTCTCTTGCGTATATTATTACTCACAGCTGTCAAAAATTCTAAAATGGTTATGTTATCTTCATTTTGTCTTTTGACTAATTCTTTTAGACGCATGTTTACAGTTTTATAGTGGTCTCTTTTTGTACTTCTCTCTTCGGGTTCACCTAAACTCTAAAGCATCTATTGCTTACTTTGCTTGATCGGCATTAATTTCATTTTGAATTTTTCTTATCAGTTTCCATATTGTGAGATGTTTTTGACCAACTAGTTTTGAGAACCTATTGTTCCATCCTTCAACAATGTTGTTGGGTCTGTTACGGAGATTTATTAAGAGGACGTTACACCGACATATTTTGTTGTCTCCTTTTAAGATGTACAATTATATATAAATAAACTTAGCAAACTCAACAAAGCAAACTTAGGGTCAATTGATTGGGATTAGGGAATAGGTTAGAGTTGTAAATAACTTGTTTATTATAATAATTGATATTTAATTAAATTACATATAATGACTTGTTTTCTGTGACCTTTACCGGTTTTTGTTACAACTATTTACTAAAACTGAATAAATATAATCTTAAAACTTTTTTATTCAATCCCATGTGTCCTTTGTATAAATAATTATTTATTATACTTTAATGATTTTAATCAAATTTTATGTGACATGTATTTTATGTATACATTATTTCTAATAGAAAAGCAATGCCCAGATTTTCTTGCTCAATGAATTCTATGAAAAGTCTGATGAATCAAAACGCAACTACTTCAGGTTCGTCCTATCCAAGTACTTCAGGTTCAGGCCATTTAACTAGCTCTAGAAACAATATTGCTAATAAAGAAGAAAGAGTAACTCTTATTGTAGATAACACTAGATTTATTGTTGATCCTGCTATATTCATTGCCCATTCAAATACAATGCTTGGAAGGTAATAACCAATGAACAATAAATTTATGTTGTAAAATAAATGTTTTTGTAATTTACTTTTTGACAGAATGTTTAGTTCTAACGAATATACAAATAAGAATGAACGTGGGGAATATGTGGTAGCAGAAGGTGTCTCTGCAAATGTATTTAGGTGTATTTTGGAGTATTATAAGGGTAATGTAATGCGCTGTCCATCTTCAATTTCAGTACAAGAGCTACGAGAAGCTTGTGATTATTTGTTAATACCATTTGACGCTAAAACAGTCAAATGTCAAAATTTAAGTAAGTGACTGATGAATTTAAAAAAATTGTATAAACTAAAATTTGGTTATTGTAGGAGGATTATTACATGAGCTGTCAAATGAAGGAGCTCGTTGTCAGTTTGAAGTATTTTTAGAAGATCTAATATTACCTTTAATGGTTAATTCTGCTCAACGAGGAGATCGTGAATGTCATGTAGTTGTCTTACTTGATGACGATATAGTAGATTGGGATGAAGAATATCCGCCTCAAATGGGAGAAGAATATTCACAAAGTAAAAACCAAAACATTAAATTCCTATAGAAAATATTTCAAACTTAAAATGATTTCGTACTAACATCCGGTACTTTGGAGTCATAACATGCTAATAAGAAATAACCAGACATGTTCAAATAAAATTAGTTTTTAATTATTATATTTATAAATTAATATAATAATCTAAAAATCTAAACTGTAAGTCTATACTATAGATTTAGTGTTAAGCTTGAACAATTTTTAGGTTCTGAGCTAAGCTGATGAATGTATTAATCATACATTTTTTTTGGTGTGTCTATAGACACATTTAAAGTAGAAAATATGCTTTGACTTTTGATTTAAAAATATTTTCTGGTAGAAAAATCCAGTGCTTTGCTTCACAAAATTAAATTGTATTTTTGTGGTAACTCAAAAATGATTAACTCAGACCGGATATTTTCTCCGAATATTCATGTCTATACAAACATTTACTAAATATAATTTTAAAAATATTTTGGTTCTTTTATACTATTTAGGTAGTTTAATTGTTTGATACAATGTATACAAATTTTTGTGTTTTTGGTAAGTAAGTTGACATTTTAATACAAAGTTCCTCATAAATTGTTCATATAAAAAAATATTGAATACACATATCCATAATATTTTTACGTTTAAAATTTAAATTTTTACAAAATTTATCGATAGCACCAAAGTTTGCAAATAAGTTTGTAGTTTAAATTTTTTAGTTCCTTTTTTAGTGTTCATCAAAATGTTTAGGTTTGGTCAAAGTAAGGTTCCTAACTTAGGTTTGTTATAATTAAAAACTATTAACGAGGACTTGAAATATTTATGTTCATTATTACACTTGGTGCTACAGAGCTACGAAATTTTCAAAATGTTTAGATAGCTATTGCTTAGTTATAAAACTATTGTATAATTTATACTGTACTAATGGTAAAATAAATCACTATAATAGCTACATCAATGATAAATATATGATAAAATTTACTTAGTAATATGGGTTGACAGAAACTTCACTCAAAATTGTTTTTGTATACAATAATTTATTATTGAATTCAAATTCAACATGTCCATTACAGTGATCAGTGACCTACTCAATGATGAGGTTATACTTGATTCCTACTGAATAGCCCAACTGTTACCTAATTTCCCACTTTTTACTATAACATTCAAATTTATAATTTTTTATTTCAGCTGTAAATAGCACTGCCTTATATAGATTCTTCAAATACATTGAAAATAGAGATGTTGCCAAACAAGTAATGAAAGAACGTGGTCTTAAAAAGATTCGTCTAGGCATTGAAGGTTACCCAACTTATAAAGAAAAAGTCAAAAAAAGAGCTGGGGGCCGTAAAGATGTGATTTATAATTATGTCCAAAGACCTTTTATCCATATGTCATGGGAAAAAGAAGAAGCTAAGAGTCGTCATGTCGATTTCCAAGTAAATTTTTGTCTATCATCAATAATCTATATATTAAAAAATATTGCTCCTATTTTTATTCCAATGGATAAACTTAAGTAACTTTTTAAAAAATTAAAGAAAAATTAAATTTCTTATTGTAGGTACATAAATATTTTATTTTAATATCCACATAATATAATATTAAAATATTGAGATATTAACCCATTATTTCCATTTGTTAATTACTAATTAGTTATTTCAATTTATTATAAAAATGTATACATTTTATTATTTAGTGCTTAAAGTCCAAGTCTGTGACTAATTTAGCAGAAGCAACTGCTGATCCTGTTTTGGAATTAGATGCTAGAGGTAATCCTATGGGTGCTGTAGCCATAGATCCAGACATTCGAGTGGTATATGATGGTCATGAACAAGATGATGGAGCTGTAGACTCTCCTCCTCCTCCCACAGTTTCAGAAGCTGAACAAAATGAAGAGGCTCAACCCAATGATCAGTAATATACAGAAGTAATATATGGAATTTATGTATAGGTACCATATATTTTTTATTGTTACTGAACAATCAATCAAGTGGTGATTTTCTTTTTTTTAACAAGCATTTTACTACTATTATTATTAATAAATGCATCTTTTTCTAATGTCGTATATAATTATAATCAATTTATTATCATTTGTATTCTTATAAATAAAGATTATTCAAATATTCTGGTGTTATTCTTGTATTTGGTTATAATTTAAAATATTTACTAATAAATTTGCCTAAGATGACTGATGAAGCAACTTGTTGAATGCATTGTAAGATGATTCGAGATCAAAAATCAATTGTCTCACTTGGGTTTCATTTAATTCATCTGATGCGTTCATAGATGATAGAGAACTTAGCCAGTCAGATACTTTTTGTTTTCCTTCAAAATCAGCTGGCAACATGCTAAGCCTGTTCATGGTATCCATTAAATCCCGAAGGTCAGGTTGAAGTTCATCCATTGCTTTAATATCCAATCTATAATTTTTTTAATGTATTAATTTTCAATTAACATATTACATATTAAATAATAGAACAAAAGCAATAGATATGTGAGAGAGGTTGTTTATGAAAAGTTATGGTCTTTAACAGGCAGGCACTATTAGAAATTTTAATCAAAATGATGAGAAACATTTTGCTTTTAGCAAATACATAATTATGTAAAAAATTATAATTCTACGAGATAAGCAGTTACTACAATTATATGTGGGTAATTTTCATTTAATATTCATAAACTAAAAGAAACCATGAATTACATGTTCAAAACAATCAAGCCATAAAAAATGGTACTGTATACTACTATATGTCACACAAGTGTACGCAGGCAGAGATTATTAGTAGGGTGTTAACGATTTTAATATAAGTATGAATTCAGGGATAAACAACAGTTCTCTTCCAACTGTTTAGGAAAGGCAGATTGGCTATAATTTGTTTTTAACCACTATAAAAAGTTAACTGCAATAAAGTATACAGCCACCCCAACTATACCGTGCGTACTAACTACTAAGTGATTGAGATTAGAGATATTAAAAATATAAACAAAATGGTGTTCCTAAATTAAATTATTTTCAATTCAAAAACCAATATCTCATTGAGATATTTTTTAAACGAATTACCTACAACCTACCTAATTTTAATAATTTTGATTTTAAATAAATTACCTACTTATCAACAGACGAAACATTTAAATATTAACATAATATGTTATTATATTCTGATACAAACCTAAGCTTATCCATAATGGTTATAAATAAAGACACAATATCCGCAATGCATTTGCTGGTATTGCCTTTATCATCTTTAATTGTAATCGGCCGATCTTCTTTAATGCGCTCTATTGCTGCTGGACAGTCTAATTTGTATTTTTTTACAAATGACTCAACCGATGGAAAATCATCACCCTGTATTTGTTTAAAAGAAGCTTTGCACTGAACCAGCAGTTTTGAGCAGGCGGCAGTATACTCTTTGGGCGTTACACAATCACGTATATATGCTTTTTCCAAATGCTGTAATGTGTTGACTAGTGCATAGAAGTCGGCCATATTATCATACTTTTCTCGTTCACGAGCGTTGCGAAATAGTCTTACTTCCTCAAGTAGTTCGGGACGATTAGCATCTTGGGAATCCATCATATTTTTTTCTTTTCTATTAAATATAACCCGTTTTCCAAAAAAATATATTCGGGTGCAAAAAATACAAAATAAATAAACACCGATATTATTACATGCTATTATTACTAGTTAAAATGTAATGTAAAAATATGAACACAAAAAAAAAAATGATTTTTTATTACGTGCACCGTGTACGAACTACGGATGCCTACAGACTGCTGTAAAAAATTAATATTATTTGTTTTGTGCATTATTCGAAAAAAACACAAAAGTGATAGCAAACACAATCACTGAATCACGTCATCGAATACTATCAAAACTACGATCATACGTCCTTATTATCAACTTACAATTTTGCAACTATCAACTATGTTAGTGTTTATATGCTAACTCGAATATAAAAAACTATAAAAAAAATAGAACAGTCGAACTCGCAAGTCAAAACTATATATAATAGCAGGTATAAATTATAGTATAATCAGTGGTGTATTGATGGCCGGAGGGTATACGCGGTTATATGTCGTATGCCCGGATCCCTATTTTTTATTTATGCGTATACCTTTTTAAAAAAATTAGTCTTTTATGGGTATACGAACGTTTCCAAATTATGACTGACAATCCAGTCATATTATCACCAAACAAAAGTTTAAAATAATAATAATAATAAACAAATTAATACAATGATATTTTATTATGACATTAAGTAGGTACACTGTCCAAAAATAGCCCCGTACCCGCATGAAGTTCGATTACATATTACCCGACTTCTGGTTCTTGAGAAGATGACCGGAAACTGCCGTTAAAATGATTTATAATAATGTTTAAATTTTGATATGTTATTATAATAATGAGCTATTATACGTTTTTTGGGGGTTATGCAACACCCAAAAAGGTGTAAGTAGTAGGTAGGTATCTAACTAAAAAAAAATAACCTTTTAACAAACTGTTTAACAGAGAATATCGAGAACTTGCAGAAAGCACCTTTAGTTGGAAGGCTGAGAAGACATTAATCAGTTATCAGTTATCACTAAAGAAATATTTATTGAAAATAATTCAAACTCAAAATGAAATAATTAAAAAATTAATAGACCAGTTATTTGATACACCTATCAAAAAAGAACCGTAATATTTATGTTTTGGAAGATAGTTCATTTTCAGAGATTATGAATGATATTATTGACTATTGAATACCTTTTAACCGCATTATGAAATGGAATTTCTTAAAACCGCTTATGCTAGGTACTATAGTCTATAATAGTGGACATTAACATACAGACAATAGACATAGGTACTAGTGATACTAATGGTTAAATAGTTAAAAAGTCACTTAAACATTCATGGTTCATCTACTGAGTACTGGGTAGACAAAAGTTACATGGTACAATTTTACGAAGGTGTCTCCCGTAAAGCCAAATTAAAGAGTGATGATGAATCATCGTTGTTCAGCAATAAAGTTTCATAAAAAATGTAGGTACCTTATGATTTTAATTGGGCCCAGCTTACACTTTAGTTTAGTATTGACTAAAATTACAATATACCTATTGCACCCATCCATACAAATAAATACGTACAAATATAATATTAAACATGATTACAACTTTTAAACATAAACTTAAACCGAGCTCGAAGTTAAGACAATTTGTTGTATACTCCTTTTCAAAAGAGAATATACCGCTTTCGCGCATGTCCAATGATTCGGTTGCTGCGTCAAGAACGAACCACTTGATCACGTTAACAATGGGAAATTGGTGGAGGACATAAATTGAACGGACATAAATTGGTCGCCGACCGGTATGTTTTCTTTTGAAACAGAGTATAGTTGGAAACATTAGGATTCAATTTGTATTCAGCATGTGCTTTCTTTTTTTGTATAAGGATATCTTTTAATTCACTATTATAGTATTATACCATGAGGATCCTTATAGATGTTCGAAATTGGCTTTTATTGGCACAAATTTTAAAATACATAAATTCATACGAGTTTTCACAATTCAAACAGTGTGTTGATTACTATTTCTAAATTAAGTTCTTATAATAACTGGGATTTGAGAGCTGTAGAAATTGGTGGCTTGGCCACCATGATTTAAGATAGTACTTAAATCATGCTGGGTGCTGGCCATTATAAAACCCAAATGCAGGATTTATGTTTAGAGAGATAACCTACTTGTATAGGTATATTTTTTGTTTTTTGGTTTTTTATTGCATATGGCTATACCTTATGAGTTACCTATGTTGTTATCAAGTAAAAAACTATTTACTTAATTTATTTGAAGTTAATAGTTAATTCAAATCTTTGTTTAATTTAAAATTATAAAAATATATGAATTTTAAAACTCGTTTATTTTCAAAATATTCTTTGATGTTTTTCCTTGGGTTCATTTAGAAAAAAATCATTACATTTTTTAGTAAAATCCTTGCATATTTTATACAAATATTCAATTCATTCATTGTTACGTTTTTTAATATTTTTGTAATCCATAGGCTCAAATAAAGGGGGCTTTAGGGGTTAAGCCACACAAAAATGTCCATTGCTCCCCAAACACTTCCTACATTTTGTTTTAAGCTTATTCAATATTATCAAAGTAAGGCTTTAGCTCTCCAAATGGTCAAATCCCAAACGTTATTTGCTCCTATGTTGAAATCATTGACCAAGGTTGTATAATATAGTTACGTCTTACCTACGTGACTTAGTTTGGAGACAAACTGAGAAGAGTGAAGTAGAGACAGAAAATATGAGTCACGTCATTAAAATAGTTTCAAAATTTGACCATTTTTCTAATAAAATTTTGCCACGCATTTGGTGGCGGTTAAATTTTCTTCGTATAATCCCATTTAAAAATTGGAGGAATGTAACAAATTTAGTATTTACTATTATCGTTGGTAATATTTTCTAAAACTGAAAATGTCAAACTAGTAATTTCTGACAATGTACGTAGAAGACTCAAAAGACAGTGGCATAGAGACATAGGCGTGCGCACGGGGGCAGCAGAGGCAGCATATGCTGCCCCTGGACTTTCTTTGGGGCCACCGGGGCCGGCAAATATTAAATGATGGGCCTCGGTAAAATTATATTTCCACAAAGGATTTTTTTTTGTTTTGATAAACTATAGATAAATATTTTATATGGGCTTATAGAAAACTAGAAAAGTACACCTTTAGTAGCTTAGTACCTTACGGTACAACCTTTTATCCAAAAAAACAAATAACCAATACAATTTTAATTTTGATATCCAATAGTAAAAAAAGTAAAACTATGGGCTGGTTTTAATGGCGAATTTGAAAAATGGGCCGAATTAATCTCTTGCTGCCCCTGAAACCGGAGGCTGCGCACGCCTATGCATAGAGACCTACTAAAATAAAAAACCACGACATCAAAATGTTCTCGGTCGGGTGGTGCTGCTGAGTGCCTGCCCTTAAATGTTAAATTCTGTTATTTCACATTATATTAACCATCAAATTTGCCCATTGTAGGGGAGAGTGGGGCAGATTTGAATGCGGGGTACATTTGAATTTGTCTAATATAATTTGTTACAGATTATTGACATTCATAAAAATAATAATCTAAGTTGGTGACAATATTTTGTATACCATATGTGATTATCAGGCATTTTTGAATAATTTTGTGATAAATAAAAATGATAATGTGATTTTCCGGCTTTTTTAAAAAAAAAATAGGTGTTTCCATAAGAACATTTTGGAAACTAAAATTCAAAATAATAAGTTTAGAATTAAATATACCTATTCAAAATATTGTTGCCTAGTAATACATTTAATGTACATACATTATTTATAATTATTAAAATTTATATTACGATTATTATTGATTATTTTGGCATGGGGTAGATTTGAATCTTCATCAATAGGGTAGATAATAGGGTGTAATAAAGGTTCCTCCTTTTTGAAATATCTATCTTATGGATGGAATATACTAGTTAACTGGATTTATGTCACAAGATGTGGATTTATCTATAAGAAAACCCAAAAATACTACATTTTCACAATAAAAAAAAAATTGACAAGAAAACATCTAAACATGATTGTAAAAAATTGTTATTATATTATATTGAGCTATTTTTATTATTAAAATAAATAAAAAGTTTAATTTAATTTAATATTTAACATTCAAATGTGGCTTTTAAGACACATATTCAAATCTACCCCCTGCACGTTCAAATGTACCCCATGGGTGGGGTACATTTGAATAAAAATATACTTCACTTCATAATTAGAAATTAAATTGGTTATTTAATATATAAGGTTGTTATAAGTCAAATAGTATTCACAACTATCTAGACTACAGATTGTAATTATCAAATATAAAATTTGTCAAAAAATTAAAAATTAAAAAAATAAAATGTAAATTTCATTCAAATCTGCCCCACTCTCCCCTACATAATTTTGTATAGATTGTAAATTACTTAAATATATTTAAAAAAAAAAACTAGTAATTAATGTAGTAGTACAGGTCAACGCACTTGACGTATAGGAAGTTCACTATTGTCTATTATTGTTCTGTGCTATTAGAAACCTATATTTTTGCAAACTACAGATATTTTTATGTTATATTACTATCGTATGATTGGAAAAATATACATTCTTTAGATATCTTTTTTGGTCTGGTATCTTAAATTGAGCTGACGTTGTCACGTTGAGCGATTCGCTTGCTAGTAGGGTGTACGGTGTAAGCTGTAAGGTGGTGCACTATATAGATAATATTATATAGATTATGCCTATTAAGGTGCCTATTATAAGTAATAGCCAATAGGTAGATAATAGTCACTTCAGGTTGTCGGTGCCTGGTGGTAGTTGTGGAGAGGGGTGAGGTAGCAAAGTTCTAGAAACGATAAGATAAACTCAATCGAGAAGAAAAGAAAAAACTGTCAATATATAAATGACAAAATTAAAATAAATATATGATAAATTAATATAATATATAAACAGTAACAGATATTAGTCGTGGTAATATTGGATAATAACCCTTATAATAACCATAGTTCACAGAGAAAAAAATATTTTTTTCC